CAACATGAGACAGGAAACAGCAAATCACACAGAAAATTAGGTAAACCTCGTGTTTGTTGTCAGAACTAAGAACCAATCAGAGCGCCCCATTTAGGCTGAGTCCTTGCTGCAGCGGCGCCAGTTCGATTCCCATCTGCGGCCTTTTTCTGCAAGTCGCCCTGGGGATAAAAAGTATATATCTATCTTTAGTTGCTGACAGCATCTTCTATACAGTAGCCAATTGATCATCATAGTATACTGTTAGTATACAAAAATAAACCTGCTTCATACTGACAGAAAATGATGCAGTGTGTGCTACATTGGACGTCAATCAAACAGCAACTTTGAAATATCACTAATAATAATAGTTTCCTTATCAAACCCAGCATTACAAAGTGATAAACACAACAGTAAAATACACAGCAATGTATGAAAAACAGACAGGCATCGGGAATAACATGTATAACACTTAAAGGTCCAGTGTGTAAAATGTATGAAGATCTATTGGCAGGTCGCCTTACATGGAGTCCACCATGCACAGTAGGGACAAACCACTGGCTCTAGATAGATTTTTTTTTTTTCATTTTTGAGCATTTCACGGCCACTGTAGTTTCTCCTTTGTGTTTAGAAGACTAAGGTGAAGCGACGGAGTTGCAATCTGCAACTACACCTGTAGATGACACTAAATCCTACACACTGGACCTTTACAAACAATGGTTGAGTTCAAAACTTAGAGTAGTGCAGTGCAAGAAAATGTACACAGTACAGTCCAATTCAATAGTAAGAAATAAATAATCTAAAAATTATAAGAAGGCTGTCTATAAACATATGTTTCCAAGAGGGATTTAAAAGTCTTCAAGAGTGATCACTGCCAGTATAACTTCACAAAGACATAGCTAAATATATTTGCTAAAATGTAATATTTTAATACTTTTTTTATTTCCAGTCTTCTTCTGGAGCTGTTTGGCCACTACCCACAGCTTACAGCTCAGTCATTTCCCTCCTTGCATTGTGGATGAATAGTGTGCATCAACAGCAGAATCAAACATCGACTGTATTTAGTATGCATTCCATCTGGTTTCAGCATACTTCATTTTGTCAGATTCAAGTGTTAGCACTCTGTTTACTAAAAACCTGCTGAAAATGTGTAGATTTCAGGCACTTTGAAGGCCTAATGGCTATGGCGCATACCACATTACTGCAACATCAGTTTTCTGTCAGCAGTGTAGGGATGTTAAACACCTCCTCTGCTGGCCTCACACTGAACTCATGTCCCAAAAACACCAAAGGGTAAAAACTGCCTACTTGCCTGTTTTTACTCAGTCTGTTAAAGTAAACAAAGTTGTAGGGAAATGATGTAGAGACTCCACACTGACTGGACCTTAACATCATATTCTTCATCATGTTTTATGTCCCACTCTTTATCTTAATATATTTAGTCTAACTGATGAATATTATTCCCAGTCCACATTATTTGCAGTATATTGATGGATTCCGTGAATTGTTATGTCTCTATACAGATACATTTGTTACAGAGTTACAGGTTTCACCCCAAATCAACTTTGAGGGAATAAAATAATTTGAGAGAAAATACATTTTGTTTTGTTTTTTAATAACCTCTCCTAATATTCTCACTGAACCACTAATGCTTATACTGATACAGTGTTGTTAGTGTTAATGGAGGTGGTGTGTGTCTGTCTCCAGTAACTTAGTTACATTCAACCACTGCTAAAAGCCCAGTCAGTGCAGACAATGTAGCTGTCTGACTCCTGAGGCTTACGTGTGTTTTCATGATAAACAAGTTCAGACACTATACACTTTCATCGTTCTGTAGGTGCACTGACTGATCTATTCACTCATCCATATAATCTGTCTACTGTACTGTGTCCATCCTCCATCCATCTGCAAATCCATCCGTCCATTAAACCATCTGCCAATGTGCATCAGATCATCCGTCCACCTCCACTTCCATTAGATAATCCATTTGCAATGGCCTTCAACCCACTTACACTTCACATGCATCCATCTACAGTCTGCAGGTTAACACTTCCAGCATATAGAATTAGAAACTAAAGCGGTAAATGATTCATATTTAGTTGTACAGGCGCTCTGAAAACATACTTACTGTCTGATGTGCATGTAAAGAAAACACACACAAGTCGCACATTCTTAAAGTATATTCCTTCAGGGAGAATATAGGCTAATCTAATTTAGTGGAAATGAGTTATTCCTCATTCCAGGCCATTTTTAAAATAAGATTAAATCAAAAAGACACATGCTAACAGATTAGTCAGTGGGTCCTGTTGTAACTCCTCTGAACAAAAGCAGCAGTGAGGGTTCAGTCACAGTGGATGAGTAATGGGAGGAAACAGGGATGTCTGCTGTTGAAACAAGTCGTCGGGAGCTATTTCAGGCCTGGAGTTGTTTAACAAAGAGCCCTTATTTTGTTCAAATGGACCATTTATAAAAACAATGGTCGGGGTCTGGAGCCTCAGTTGGGAAAGTGAAGGGCTGAAAGTGCTCGTAAATGTCAAATAGGCCACCTGAAGAATGGCCCAGGGTGCAAACTGCTAATATTACTCCAACTATTATTGTCCTGGATCTGACAGAGGAAGTGTTGGACTGTGCAAAGGCTGACGGGTAGAGATATTTGTTGAAGCTGAACTAGATTTTTATGTGAAATATATCTATTTTCTATGGCATAAATAAAAAGTTGAGCTGCAGCAAAGGCCATCTTTCACAGACCAGCTGCAGATTTGATCATTTTCAAAAATGCATCGTTGGTTTTTGAGATACAGACATTGAGTATTTCCACTTTATGGTATGATAGGCCACTGAACTTCATATTTTTACTCCATCTCAGAAGTAGATATTGTAATTTTTAAAGTAGGTAAAATGTTAACATTTTCTATCTAGCGTTACACACAAACTACAACTGAGGCTGATGGGAATGTCAAATTAGTTTAACAAAGTATTAAACTAATTAAAATGTTAACCTGATGATGGCGCCACAAGAAAAGAGTAACCAAAGTTATTACAATAAAGTCTGAGGGGAACTTGAATGTCTGAACCAAATGTCATGACAGTCCACCCAATAGTTGATGAGATATTTAACTAAAAACCACATCAACCTCATGGTGGCGCTTGAGGAAGGGGATCACTAAAGTCATGAGGATTCTTTCTTTTGGGAACCATTAATGCACAAAATTGCACCTTAATCTTGTTATATATGAAATGTGCAATTTTTGCTATCTACTTTCCCGTTGCTAATTTTACCTTTTAGGTCATAATGTAAAATGCCACCTCCCCACACGATGTTCTGCATCACCTGGACTAGTTTTGATTCTGTTGTATGGAGGATTAAAACCAGAAACCAAGAAAATGCAGGTTTAAATGTCTGGTTTAAAAAATAAAAGGTTTGTTTATTTTATTTTTTGAGGAATGATTGACTGCTGTTTCTTTGGAGATGTAACATAGCCACCTTTTAGGGATCAGTTTAATAAATGTTAGCTCTAATTGTTCTAGAGTACACATGCTCACAGACCAGCTGAACGTTTTTCAAGGTAGTTTTCTTGAGTTCAGGAGAATAAGTAACAGAAATAAAGAATGTCAGTGCTGCAGTTCGCAGAAAAGACTAAAGGGAATGAGAAGATCTGGTCATTTTTGTTCTTCTCAGGTATATTCTAAATAAATTCCTCAGTTTGTCTTGCTTTTCAACATATTTAGATCATTTCATGTGCTTTATAAACAGCAGGAATTATGGCTCATGTATGACCATCTCCCCCTGCTATCACATTGAAACCATGCGCTGATATGATATATGAAGCTTCTTATCTCCTGTGGAGACAAATGTACTTATTTTGGACCATTAGTGGTGTTTTCTCTTTTCTCAGCCAGAGCAGCTGCTCCATCACTCTGAAGCAGACTTTCAGTCCTGTTGTATAATCCCCAAAACTGAAGCTTCAACACCACTTTCACACCAGACACCATTCAATAGAGTTCACCACCATTCTTTACCAATGAGAAACAAGTAAACAGTGTGCACAAGGCATGATGGGTAAGATGGTGACACAAAGCAGACCCACTAAACAATGAGAAAAGGAATAGTTTAGTCTCTTTTCTTGCTGAGACTGACATCAGAGGATCAGTACCATTCTCACTCTGTACAGTAAAGGGTAGCTCAGCATAAACACAGGGTGGATCCAGCTAGCATGGCTTTGTCCTTAGATAACAAAATCCATGTGCTTGACTGTTTCCTTGTCTGAACTAGTTACCATCATCGGAGACTCCAGGAAGTTACCTCTCACATTTGACACTTTACATTAATACATTAAACATTAAATTAAGTAATTAATTCATTTTTAGATATTATATTAATTTCTTGACTCATTTTCAGCATACATATGTGAAAGTAATCAATATTTTCATTTAACTTTTGGTAATAAAAACAAATAAGCTAAATTATACCTCTAAGCACGGAGCTGTAACCATGATGTGATTAGCCTAGCTTAGCATAAAGACTGGAAGCAGGGAGAAACAGTTGAGAAACAACTGTCCAAAGCTCACTAATTAACACCTACTGTTTATCCATCTGCCAAACTTGCCAGATTCAGATACAGATTCAGTCTGTGAGAACAGGTTATGATGGTTCCTTCGCTGTGATGACGTCTAAAACCACAACCTCTTGTTTTTACATTTCTGTTTGTATACTGATGAAACAAACGAGATACAGCAGGTAATTGCAATTAGTGAGCTTTAGAGGTGTTGTCTGTTGGTGTAGGTGCTAAAATCAAGTCTTTAACAAACTGAAATAACAGTTTTTGCCATGTTTTTTTCTTTATATGTTGCCTTTCTATCCTGTGCAGGAACAAAACTCTTCATCTTTCAATATATGATGATGAATATGCACACATTCCTGGCAGGAGAAATCATTTTGTCTAAGCGCGTTAGTAATGTTAAAAATTCTTTTTCTTCCCTATAAAAGGTAAAAAGCCGCTTAAAGGGAGTGAAACTGAGAAACATTGCTTCATAGATATTTTTAATGAGCAGCCAAATGACTTGACAGATGATCGTAGAAAATGCTGTGATTTACTGACTCTGAGGTTTTTCCCCTTCTGACTGAACACAAGCTGACAAAAACGGATTCATTTTAATTTTGCTGACAGTTTAGTTATTGCATTTTTTTTTTGCTTTGTAAGGTAGTTGTTAACATTGCTAGTAGGTCAGTCCGTGAGGGAGTCCCTGCTCTGTAATGTGGAAACAATCCCCTCACAGCTCTCCGTTAGCGCAGTCCTGCATGGTCACCATCATAGTGGGACTGAAGCCACTGTACTGTCCATCCGGGCTCGGGTACTCCTCCCTGATTCTCCACACGCAGCAGCTGGGGATGGCAGGGTGGGTGTCGTTAGGTGGGACCCCAAACCTCCAGCTGATGTACTGTCTGTAGGCGCAGTGGCGCAGGGCGGTGGTCCGGCCTCGCTGAGCAGGTGAAGACAGAGGGTCCCGGTACAGAAGGTAGGCCTCAAGCAGGGAGCGACATAACACAAGTTGCTCAAAGAGAGGAGATGAGGTGATGCAGGTGCCGTCGCTCCGCCGGCAGCACAGCTCCTCCTGAGGGAGCGACGAGGGAGTGCAGCAGTCGCACTTACACCAGGCTGGACGACAGGGTTTGGGGTTCGGGGCAGGTTTACGGTCAAGGGGAGGCTGAGCATTGTGATCCAAGCCGACACCAGGCTGTAGCAGAGAGGGAACGGCTCTCAGGTGTCCTGTGTCCTCCTGTCAGAGCAATATATCAGTCAGATCAATGAGAAGATTTACACTGTAATTTAAACTTTTTACTGTTTTTAAAGAGTCAATTCATCTAATTTACTAAACATATTTATTGCCTCTAGTGGTATCAACCCAGGCAAACAAAATAGCCACTTTAAATGTAAAGTCTAGAAAAGATTTATACTGAATCTACGAAACTACCATAATAATGCTTCATATCTTACCATAAATTCATTACTCGTGAATTCCAACCTAGAGTTGCTTAGATCCTGAAAGTTTAAATTAGTTTAAAGCTAATATCGTGGAGCAACAGACAGATTTTAGGTCTTAATTTCACTGTATGTCATTAGTAAAAAGAGACCATTTCTACATGTCCTTTGCCTGGATCCATCCTCCCTGCAGCAGGTTTACCTTACGTGGCTGAATAGTTGTTGGCTTCATGTCTTGTAAACTTTTCTTCTGTGATTTCTTCACCAGTCGAATGTTGTTCTCATCAACGTAGGACACACAGAGGATGCACTGCAACACACAGTCACACCACACGGGAAGATATTCAGAACGATCACAAACTAGCGGATTACAGAGATTTGAAAACGTATTAGATTGTATTGAAATACAACTGTTTGTTTGACAGTGGGTTTACAGCCACAGTGCATCCAACATTACATAATCAGTCATATCAAACCATATATCACCTTCTGTTTGTCTTGGACTGACTCCACTTTCTTTTCGGAGTATTTTTGTCCGACCTCTGCAGAATAACAGCTGGTTCCAATCAGCCAGTCGATCAATATGGTTGTCTGCAGGGAAACACACACACAGTTTCAGCAGCAGTCAACTTTGGTGAGCTCACTGCTCGGCATTGTTGGATTTTGCTCAAGCAGCACCAACCACAGCTGACTGAAGCATCTTAAGCTGCAGCTACAGCCACTAGATGCTGCCTCGAAGGAAACCCCAATTCTTCTGTCAAAGAAAAGCTGTTGGGGTTTTTTCACAGCAAGCCAGGCTTTCATCACTTTCTCTAGTGCTTGTATGGGGTTGATATTGAAAATAATTTAGTAATAAAATATTAAGACTACCCTCCTTCCACTGGGGTTGGTTGTTTAAACCCTAAATTCTCACATTAAAAGGGGAGAGAGAGAGAGAGAGAGAGAGAGAGAGAGAGAGAGAGAGAGAGAGAGAGAGAGAGAGAGAGAGAGAGAACAAGGGTGTGTGATTATGAACAGAGAGAGGGGTGACACTGAAAGGAATAATTCACATATTTGTAGTATTTTGGTTGTGAAGGGTTGCGAAGGATTTACTGTTACTGTGAATTTCTCAGTCTGTCGAATAGATCTGCTTCATACATGCATCTGCAGTACAAAAGTGACACAGACAGTAGTGAGAAGTAAAGTCAAACTCCAGACTGAAAAACATCCCTGTATGAAACCACTCATGACTCATCACTGTATGGCAGTGGAGGAAGAGCAGTCAGATCCTTTACTTAAGTGAAAGTACTCCATTGCATGTAAAAGTCCTGCACTGAGAATGTTTACTTGAGTTAAAGTATGTACAGTTTTTATTATCAGGGAAAGGAACTTAGAGTATTAAAAGTAAAAGTACTCATTGTACTCTGTGACTGTTACATATGATATCATTAGATTGTTATTACCTTTGCATTAATGTAAAAGCAGGGTTTCACTGTTGTAGTTGGTTGAGTGGAGCTCCATTTGAACCATCATTATTATCATTATTTGCATTATGGATTAATCTGCTGATTGTTTATTGCATACATTATGTTCACTAGAGGCGGAAAGGGGCATATAAGGGCCACTGACATGCACCCAAATGAACCTTGAATAAATTATTAAGATTAAGATTGTAAATATAAATAAAAAATATAAACTAAGATTTCTCTGCATTTAAACATTGTTGGAAACATTTGGGATAATGTAAGTACACACCTCAACATACAGTAGGTCTAATTGTTTTTCGTTTTTAATGCAGGAATGTTACATATCATACCCCTAAATACAATAATTTACAGTCCACCATGGCAGCATGGAGACCATTATGCATCACAGCCTCAATCTTTACTCTTATAGCTTTCATTTTACAGACTGAGCTTATTCAGCTCTTTCTGGTGGGTCTGCAGTGAATTTCATTCAGGTTGTCCAGATGCAGCAGCCATTTAAAGTCCCACTCTGGACTCTAACACTGATCGCCACTGTGTTCAGTACTAACGGAGGATAAAAGCATGAATGGACACTTGTATGACAGCAGCTAACACAGTGTGGTCTCTCACCAGAGCATAGTACGACAGCGTTGATCCGATATAGATGATGAGCTGAATGAAGCTGAACCTTCCCGCCTGGAAAACAGACCAAACTGTCACTGGATTGTTTTTATTTTCCATATTCTCCTCCAGAGTTAGAGCCAGCTTTATAGAAATACTGAGTGTGCAAAGAGGGCATGGGCACAGAGAGTTTATGATAAAGGACGTTTTGCATCAGTAAGCAGTTATTTTATTGATCAGATATGGCATCTTTGATAATTTCCTCTCAATCACAACAAATAATAGATGCCTAAACTAGGTAATATACATTTTGCCATTTAACAAAGGCCTAATAAAAATTCAAAACTGGTTTAGATTTTAGGTTTGAAGATATTTAGTCTAAAAAATATATGAAAAGATCAAAGCCCTTAAAGTAAAAGAGAATAAAATGGGGAAAAGCAAACAAACCCACCTGTCCGAAAACCATGACATCAAACCTGATCCCAAATGCTTTGTACAGCGTTCGCTCCTCCACACCGTTCACTATGTTGTACTTTGCATACCTGATCAGAAGACAGTCGATGTTATCAATGATAAAAACACTTGAAACACTTCATGTTACAGAAGAGCCTTTAACATTATGCAGCTTTATTTACAACAACAAATGTGTCTGTTTTTACTGCAGCATGTCCTGTGAGAACAACGTACATGAGCTCAGAAAAACTGCTGTTTTCAGCTTTGTGACGCTAAGCCAATCCAACAAAAGGATTTTTAAACAGTTTATACAGAAGTAGGAGAATTTTCTCATCCCATCAGGGAACATTTAATCCTTCAGTTTATCAGAAACAATCAAATTCAAAATCACTACATTTGGAAATATGTGGTTTTCACTGGAAAAGAAGTCTAGAACAATAGCAATCTGAAAAGTAACTAGTAACTGAGGCTGTCAGTAAAAAGTACAATATTCCCCCTGTGATATAGTAGAATAGAAGTATAAAGTTGCATAAAACAGAAATTCTTGAGTAAAGTAGTACATCAAAGTACAGCACTTTTGTCACAAACCACAACCACAGAACAAACTAAACAAACTGTCCTGGTTTATTATTGAATTTTCACTTTCTCTTCATGGTCTCAATGTTTCCAACCGGCAGAAATATAACTGGTGAAACACTGAAGCCTTTATTGTTTTCATGTAAATTCATGTACATACAAATAGCAAAATGTCTGGACTTTCACACAGGCAGCTTCAACCTCAGTCTAAACATAACCAAAGCTCCTATAATGGTATCCATAGATGGTAAACTTGACCTCTGACCTTTGCTCACCTGAAGTTGAGGCCGGGGTAGAGCGTCTTGTTGCTCTCTTTCTCATCCAGCCGTCTGAAGGAGTATTTGGGCTTGCAGTGTTGCATGAGCCGGTCCAGGTTGCAGTCCCAGTTGATCAGGATGCCGATGACGCCCCCCTGTGGTCAACACGAGAACTGGATGAACCACTAAACCTCACTGACCATGAAGAGTCAGTTAGCTGGAAAACCTTCACTTTTTTGCATGAAATGAATCCCACAAATCAACTCAGCACAGGTCAGACCGCCGGAAATTAATTCTACTCTCTGTTTCTTACTCTGTTTGAATTGTGAAACTAAAGTTTGTGATTCTTTTGCTTTTTCTCTTTTTATTTAGAAATATGTGAAAGTGTGTGTTGAGAAAAGAAAGGATGTAGCTGCACTGAAATCAAGAAAAATGCAACCTGAAGTTGATTTTTCATTGGAAGGATTATAAATACATAAGTTTTTCACTTGTTTCAAGAAAATAAATCAGCTAATTAATTATCGAAACAAAAATTCTTCTTGAAAAAAGCTCAAAGATTTATTTGGCACAAATTTACTGAAGTTCCACTTTCATCACCCAAACTGAAGAAAGTTTGTGGCAACACTTCCTTTTTTTGGCTGTTTCATTTCAACTTTACTTGATCTCTTGCTGAGGAAAAAGTGGCTCACTAAGAGAAAACCCAAAAAAGATTGTGTGGGTGTAACACTGTTCCTGCATCCTGACTTTTCAGCAGTAAAGTTGGTCACTAAACTGTTACCATTACTGACTGAGATGGTGGACAGTAGCACATAAAGACCAATTAAGACCAATTAACTTGGCTTTCACAGCAGAAGCATATCAGCATGACCCCACCTCTACTGCCATTTCAGAGAACTTTTCTCCGGCCTCTCGAACAACGTCTCCCAGTCTGAAGATGGGACACAGCGAGTCACTTCCTCTCTGACAGCTCCTCAGGTAGGTGTCGTTCATCTCTGGGAGGATGTTCCTTCTGTAAAACAGAAATAGACTTCAATATTCACAGAAAGTCAGAATTTCTCTCCCACTGAAGGGAAGTGAGTAAATCTTCGTGTCTGCTGCAAAGCCTTTAGAAATGTCAGTCGGTTTCCAGCTGAGAGTTTTAGTCTCCTACAATGTTCTAATGTTTCATTGGCTCTTCTTATTTGATAAAAATAAAATCATGCAGGGAAATAGCTGACGGCAAAATATTTAGCTTATTTTCACTATGAGTGAATGCTAATGTGATATGACAAAGTGAGGCAGTAATTAAAACCACAAAGAGAGGAGAAAAATACTACTTCATTGAGATGTGAAACTTGTTGCTGTACAAACACAGAGGTGTGTAACCTCTGTAGCATCAGTCATAAAGCTTTCTCACCGGATGAAGTTGAACGCAGGGAACCGGATGTTGTTTTTGATGAGGACTGTGAAGTTCTCAGCTGCTGCCAGCAGAGCAGGCCTGGAAAATTCATACTATTATACACTGCTGTCTATAATACAGTACATTTTAATTACAGAAACACAGATGCACTATATCACCATCTGATATTGATGTTTAAAAGACATTATTCCATTTCAGAAACTTAGTTATAATGTGCAATGTGACCCAGGATTCTTCTGTCAAACACTGTTGTCACTTTGGCAATGAAGAGCATTATGAATGTGAACTTCTATTACATTATGTCCATAATTTATAATAATACTTTATAAATCTTATTAAGTTATATAAAGCCTTATAAATGCAGTGAAAATGTGTTATGAATGTGCTTCAAATGCATTATAGACATGACCTTCATAAAAAGTGTTAAATACTAGTGTGAGTGTTAACAGTAGAAAAATAACAAAATAACATATACTTTAAACAGTCTATATGAATAGTAAAGAGCAGGGCTGTGAATGGGCAATGCAAAATAAATGGATGAGCCACTTACAGCAAAAAAATACAAATGATTGAGGGTGGAATCAGGGGGACATTTAAGCTTATAGGTTTTATAAGAGGAAATAACACAGTTGCTTTTTTTAAGCATTTCTGCCAATGTTTCACTTCCATCCACAATCAGTTTTATTTCTTGTGTTCTGCAAAAATAGTATATTATGATGTTTAGTACATGCACGTATTAAACTTCAAAATATACTATGAAATATACTCACATTCAGGGTACAGTTAGTAAGTAAAACACAGTTTAGGTCTACAGCCACCCTGGCAGCGCTTTGACTGCAAGCGGTCTGCTGAAGCTCTTTACACACCGGAAAACAAAACAGATGGATTACAAATAAAGGGAAAACTGTGGTTGCTATTCTTATCACTGGTGGAGCAGAATTTGGTAAATCTGGAGCCAGAAGAGTCCAATTCTGCATACCAGCAAGCAGCTACAATCAATATTTTTATAATAAAGTATCAATGACGTAAAAAATGTGTGAAAGGTCTCGTTAGAGAGAATTCTCACCTGAATCTGCAGCTTCTCTTGGCTTTATGGAGCTTTGTAACAAGTTCCAACTCATTGTTGTCTGGCCCACAACTTTACTGTTCTGGTTCACTCTCACTGCTCTAAGCGTAATCTTCAGCTACAGCGGGCAGCTGTTTTCGGCAAAAAGCTCTAAAAACCTACTGTACACTACCTGCTCAGCTCCAAACAGCAGACAGACACAGTTCGAGACTAGCTGCTGAACACAGTGGAGCACTGATCAGCTGAAGAGCCACATATTTCCCCAAGAGTTGACAAAAATTAAAGCTAATTAAGAGTGGATATTGGAATCAGATTTATCAGGTTGCCAGAAACTCAAAATTAATGTTGCTCCTTAATTGCCGGATGAGTGAATAAGCAACTGTTTGTTAACACGTTCCCAATATCAGTTTGAAGGTTGTACATTTTGATCTGGTCTTGGTGTCACAAAATCTCAGAGGATCAAGAAAAGTTAAAATCCTGAGGAGTTTACCTCGGAGGGTGCGACTTCATTTCAATTGGACACCACGCAGAAACCTGACAGGTCTTCCTCAACACATCAAACTTCACACATGATCCTGTCTGAATCCCTGCAGAAGGAGAACAAATGTTGCTGTATCTAAACCTCTACACATTCTGTCATAACAGAGTTTGAAAAGTAGCAGGTTTGATTTCTGCAGCAGCTGATGAGGCGCCAACAGTGTCACCCAAAGCTTTCATTTAGCAGAGAGCTGAGAGCTACTGTACAGCTGGCTGAAGCTACAACTGCAACACATTAATGATAAATTCCTCTTGTGGAACAGGTCAACTGTTGTAACCCACTGGACAAGGAAAGTATTGCTATGACAGCAGAGGAGTCAACAACAACAACTCAATTTAAAATCCATCCAAAACTGAGCCTCTGGCCTCTACAAGTCTTTAAAGTTTCAACAGCTAACTATTGGATCACCACTACAGCTAAAATAAACCAGGAAGGCTTTCAGACTGAGGTCGAGGGTGAAGTCTGAAGTCCTGCTGGATGTATAAAAGGAATTACAGTGCATGAAAACGTATTCTCCAATTACCTGTGTAACCTGGTTTCCTGCATGTAAATGTAGTGAAGGAGAAGTTACTGTACCATGGCTCTGCTGATCGCAGGCTCCTTTCTCACAGTCCTGATCAGTACGACAATATCTGCCTTTAAGGGGAACCTGGAATATAAACACTGCTGCAAAATAAGAAAGGTCTGCTAACTTGTCATCTTAATCATCATGTCATTAGCAGCAATGTTATATACTGTCAGATAACTTAAAATGTGATGAGTAATAATAATGATGATGAAAGAGCACCTCTGGGCATTTTCCCTGCTTCTGATTCCTTGTCACAATGACATTGGTCGTCACAAAGAAGGAGTTTTTGACCTACAAAAAAAAATAAAATTAGTAAATTCTCATTTTTGTCAAACACCCAATACCCAGGGGACTGAGGACCCTGAAGCTCCTACCTGTGAGGGCCCGCTGTAGTCCACCTCATCCCAGACCACTTCCCCGACCCCCGTCAGGTTGATCTGAGCTACACCCTTCACCTTGGTGGTGACCGAGCTCACCACCAGGTCAAACTCCTGGTACTTCCTGTTCCACAGCATCATTAGGCTACAACATAAAAAAATATAAACTGTTCAATGCATATGTCACAGATTTTGCACATTGAAGTGAGTTTGCTCGAAGTACAGGGGAACTATAACCTGTAAGAGCTGTGTAATGTATTCTGCAAAGTCTGAGAAAATACCCTGAAGATTTCACCTGCACAACAAATCTTTAACACCACGCCTGAGTTTCTGACTGAAGGCATGAAGCTTGAGAGACATGGGCATTTACTAAGCAGGGAGGGTCTGATGCGAAGGACCTATTGTAATTGAAGGAATTCTTGTTTTTCATCCCAAACAAACGCATATTTGGAGGCTTTCCCATGCTCGAAAACTCATGACACGCGGCGCACGTCAGTCGTGGCGAAACATTTTGTATTCTATGTGTCACTTTTTGGTCGGCCACTAGGTGGCGCTACTATCATGAAAAGTGCATTTAGGCGAATAACTCCTGCATCATTTGTCGCACATTAAAAAACCTTATATCCACGCGTTCGGTGAATGGAGCTGCATCTCCCTATATAGGCCACGCCCATTTTTGCCTAAAAAAAATTCCACTAGAGCACGAAATGTCCATAAACTACTTTTTTCGTGTTTCTCCTATGCACTTTGTCTGATTCGCACAAAACTTTTCACGTAGAATCTGGGGACCGTCCTGGCAAAAAAAAAAATTGTAAAGAATTGATATTTCAAAAAATTAGCCCGTTATAAAATTAGCACTTCCTGTAGATTTTGGTCAAAACAGGAAGTGGACCATTTCTCCACATTGGTATCTCCGATTTACACCAAGCTTGGTCCACAGTTCCCCATGTCTTCCTTAGGCATCGTGCACAATTTCAGGCCATCGTCACAAGGTGGCGCTCTTTAAAATGAAGAAGTTTATATCTCCGCATCTGCACATGTGATTACAAATGAAACTTGGTACGATGCTTGCCCATGGCCCCTGAGGCTCACTAAAAAATGTGTCAACAATCCGCAACTAGGTGGCGCTTTGGTGGCCGGGTAAATCAATGTGCGGAGACCGTAATAGTTATGAATATGAAATTCACAGGGCATGTGTAGACTGGTGCCTGTAGCTCACATACCAAAAATCGCATTTGTAGCGCCCCCTACAGTATTTCAACAAAGCAGCCGCGGCACCACGTTTCACCGATATGTATGAAACTCGGTAGGCACATGTAATGTGCCGAGATGTACAGAAAAGCCTCTTGGACCCATACCCCAAACCCCACAGGAAGTCGGCCGTTTTCATTTTAATTTTCACTCACAGCGAACTTTTCGCCTTGTATTTGAACGAACTCCTCCTAGGGAATTTATCAGATCTGTTTCAAAATTGGTCAGTACAGTCAAAAAACATTGCTGATTAAAAGTTGAGCTATTTGTGACTGTACGTTCAACGGCGTGTCCATGGCATGCCGTCAAATTCGGCCACATTGAATTTCACGGTGATTGTCAGCGGTTTTTTGCGTTGTATTTGAACGAACTCCTACTACGGAATTATCTTGGATCAACTTCAAAATTGGTCAGTACAGTTAAAAAATATTGCTGATCAAAAGTTGTACTTTCAGTTACTGTATGTCGTACCCTGTGACGACGTGTAAAATTCCGCCGATTGGCCATAAAACAGATAGTACTCATAACTTCAGTTTACAATGTCCAATGTCCACTAAACTTAACATATTCTGTAACAGTCCCGCCCTGAACACATCCTCACAACTTCAGTGTACGTGGTCCAATCTCAATGAAACTTCACACGTTTGATATGAGTCGTGCCCTGAACACGTCTACATGACAATATTCAGATATAGTGAGAGTGCCACCTTATAAGGCACAAAAAGTCAGGTTTATGGCTGCTTTTAACTATTGTTGTTATAAATTAATCTGCACACAACTCTCTCAATCAATTAATCGATCAATGGTCTATACATCTATAAAAAATAAATAAATATATATATTCTGTTTCATACACATAGGGAGCGTTTAGCTCTATTCAAACACTTACAGCCTTATTGATGATCAGTTAAATATTTATGTTTCTGTTTTGCTCTGGGACATCACGGCAGCCAGTAGTTTAACTGAGCCTGGGACTGACAGCGGTGAATAATTAGGAAGTACCCACAGAGAGCGCAGCCGCTGCCCGAACACACACACACACACACACACACACACACACACACACACACACACAGATGCGGGGGCTGAAATATTTCACATGTCCACTCACCAGATAAACAGCAAAATGAATGCGTTCAGACTCCACTTCAACGAGCCGAGCCGGACGCTCTGGATCCGGACCAGCTTGTTGGTTTCATACTGACACAGCCCGAGGAGGACTCCGCAGCCCGGCATGCTGCTGCTGCTGGTTGGCTCTGGTTAGTTTCAGTGGACGAGGAATCTCTGACTCACTTCTTGACTCTTCTTCCTGTGTGGACGGTCACATGTCCAGACTCCTGCAGCTGCTCTCATTTCCAACATCATCCCAGCAGCTGCACGCCCCCCCCCCACACACACACACGGTTTGCTATAGGGGGAAATCATCTGTTTTAATCATTTATTCGATTCGATCTTTATTTCTTCTGTAGGTGGATTCCACAAAGTGCTCGCTAGTCTTCACACAGACAAAAATAACAATAAAGATAAACAAGTTAAAATCACACAGTACCAATAAAACAAGAAAAGACAAAAAAAAGAGTCAAATATAAAGATGGGAAAATAAGTGAATGACTATATATGAAATAGACAGTCGTTACCATGAGAATTAAAAATTAAATTCCCCCAAGTGGGTATTTATTTGAGTGATTTTTATTGTTCTCTTTGTGCGTCCTGATTTGTAGAGCCTGGAGCACTTTTTTTTTTACCATTTATCATGTTTGTATTATGTTTGTCTATTAACTGAGTTCTTTGTTGTTTTTATATGCCTCCCCTTCTACTGCAAACCAAATCTACCTACGGGTACAAATAAAGCAACCTTGAACCTTCAAAACACACAACAATATAATAAGGATAATAATAACAATCAAAGATTCTAGAACAGCAATAATTAAAAGTAACATCTCTGTGAGATTCACCTTTTTAATGACTTTCTGAAGCATAAACTACTTTAGATGTTGGTGGGACAGAGGAAGCTCTATAAAGAACAGTTCTCGTTATAAAATTCACTTGATGTGTACTATACCTTTGACAAAAACCAATATACTGTTTTTTCACCAAATAAGTGTGGTGTATTGTTCCAAATGACATTCTGCATTATTCACAGATTTTAATTTAGCCTCCAGTCAGCCAATGTAATAATGTATACAGCTCACACACATTAACAATTAAGAACTAATCTTGCTCCTGTTATGTGCAATTTGAAGGGTTTTTGCTTTCTTAGGAGCACTTCTGACAGAACATCAGTCACAGCAGAAGATGGAACAGTGAAACAACAGTGCCTTTGTAAGCATTTCTGTGTTTTCTATCATAGTACTAGAATATCTTTGGCCCTGGGAAATTGTGATGGTCAGTTTTCACTACTTTATGACATCTTACATTCAATCAATTGGTTAATCCAAAATAAATAATTGTTGGATTAATTAGTTACAGTGCTAAAGTTCCCTTTTAGGAGTGTAACATAACAGGTTTTTGTAGCAAGTGAGGACAACAAATTCAGTAAATCACTGAACCACTTACAGCTTGTAAGACATGCACTAGATGTCAGTGTTGTCTCTACTACACTTACAAGGATCTGCATCACGCTGATTTCAAATAAGTTCACAGACTCATCCTGAAAGCATTCCCTCACCGTGTGCACAGATAAACATACTGAGAAATGAATACATTCCACGATAGAAACACTTGAGAAACATTCGGAAACAAACCAAAAATTCTGATGTTCCATTTTGACTTTTCTGATTTTCTTGGATATAAAGACCTTCTTGTTCCCAGCAGGACAAGTGGACCGCTGTGAGGGAAAACACATTGGACAAACTGTCCCATGAGGAGACAATGATTCAGCCTCTGCAACAATCATGTGTGCAAAGCTGGAATGTAGCTGAGAACATTTGTTTTACTTCAGTAGTTTTGGTGAACTTGTACTTGGAGTATTTCCATTTTATTCCACTTCTACTATATAAATACTTCTGCATCTCAGAGGGACACGTTGCACTTTTAATCTTCTACATGTCTTTGACAGCTGTAGTAAGAATTACTTTGCAGATTGAGTTTACATGCTACATTACTAGTATGGCAGTTTTTAGTGGTACAGTGGTACCGTATGATGGAGCACCAACTTGGCATTTGCTAATTCATCTGACAGTGTCAGTCTAACCATGAATGATGAGTGTGTGATAATAAACTTTGAAATGTCTGTTATTTTTACCTTCACTCACCATGTTTTTGACATACATTTTAAGTCATATAAGATTTTTCATATTGGTGGTATTGGGATCATAAGTGTGCCTTCAAACAGTTCAACAGGGGGACAACACCTCTAATAGACAATAATGTGTTGTAAAGGACATTTGTCCTAATCTTTCTAGGTGAATATTCCCAGCTGCAACGTTTTAGAAACAAACTTCACAGTTTCCATTTTGTAAATTCAGATTTTTTTGTTAGAAAATCAAATTTAATTTCCACAGGTAGGAACTTAATACAAGTCTTTATCTAAATCGGATAAACACATTAAAGAATCTTTAGACAATGTGGACACAGCTGCACAGTTTTCCAAATATTTTAATTCCTGGAGGCTGACTAAAAAAAGACTCTTAGACATCAACAGCAGTCGCATTATCTCTGTTTGTACACAGAAACTTCTTCAGCTGAAAATCTTCCGGAACTTCGGTTTGAGCATCTCCAGATTGCTGTTGCCCTGCATCTTCTCCGCCAGGCTATTCACCTTCATGATCACATCGTGAGCTTCGTCAAACAACTTTTCGCCGAGCTCCTTCTTCAGTCGGTCCCTCCAGGCTATGAGCTTCGGCCGGCCTTCAAACACATCCAGTCCAGTTGCAATCGGCTGCAAAACACACAGCAAACACAACCTCAATACACAAGCTTTTAAAAAAAATGATAACATTGCAATTACATGAAAGGTATAAACCAGAGTTTCTCAATCTTGGGGTCGGGATCGCTAATGGGGTCACTACAATGCAGACACAGTCTTCAAAATAGGTCGTAATTATCTCATCATAATGCATTCTCAGCTCCCACAGTGATATCAATTCTGGGTTGTACCCTAAATTATTATCATAAATCAGACACAGGTGACACACTTTGATTCCAGCTGCAAAAGCTTTTCCTCTCAGCTTTTCTTTTCTATATCTCACCATAAAAAATAAACATTAATTAAGTTACATCAATCGTTTGTTTTTTTTGTATTTTTGAGGATGATTTTAAATGAAATTACTAGAGTTGGCGTTCATGTTAACACATTCACTTTGCAATATAAATAAAGTTTTCAGTCACATTTACTTACCAGTAATAGTTCTGTTATAGTAGTAGAAATAGTAACAGTCTTACCTGCATGACCTCAACTATTGCCACCAGGTCAGCCAGAGAGATCTTGTTGCCAAGGATGAATGGTTTGTTCTGCAGGAACTTCTCCTCCAGCATGTTGAGCGACTGATTCAAATCCTCGACAGCAGCGTCCATCTTCTCCTTCGGGACCTCAGAGTCCATGATGACAGGAAACAGAGCCTGTTCAGAGAGACACACATAGATCAATCAGACTTTAGTAGTACTGGCAGCAGCAGTCAGTGTAGTTGTTGTTCCAACTAACAGCTGCAAGTGATTTATGATTTACTGAGCTGCTAGCACAACTGAAAGAGACTGTAAGATTCTGTAAACCGCAGAGGACAAACACGTTTAAAACTTTATAAAAATATAATGTCAATATATTTAAACATATCTTAAGCATAAACGTATATATAAACTGAACATGATACAATAAGAGTAGCAGCAACAAAACCTTTCAGTGCTACAAAAAGGAACAAAACAAACAAATGAACTTGTTTCTGATATGTGTGTACTGAAGTAGGTCAGATGAGGATACAACACCGGGTTGATCTGAGACTCTGTACCCTGAGCAGGAAGACCTTTGACCCATGAGCTCTGAGGTTCGTGTGCTGCCAGGACAGGTATTCATTAACACGAGCTCGCTGCTGCAGGTCAGCTGGGTACCAGTGATCTGCCACTGACGACGAATATTTCTGCACCATGTACTTCAGGATCGCAACGCTGCAACACAGACAGCATGAGGAAAAAAAAATGTTCAAACATGACAAAGAATCTGATGTGGTGTTTGTGAAACAGTTTCACTTCAGTGTTGTTGATCTGCACTGAAAATTGCATAATTTTACTAATCAAGGGGTGTCCCTGTGGCTTATAACAGCCTCTTTAAATGCCAGTCAGTGTAAATTCAGCCTTTATGGGGCCCAAACACAATTTCAACCCCACCAGTCAAGTTAAAAAATTGTGTTTTTAATGTGTGACATGCAAACTGTGACGCACTTACAGTGCATGAATCTACATTTCATGCAGATTGAAATATATTTTTGTACTTTGGATGAAACTACCCTTAACATTATGATAGCAGCCTTTGAAAGACAGACTTTGAAACTCCTCATCATAGGTTCCATCATAACTTACTTACCCTTGAAAACAGCTATCAGCAGCTCCATAAATATCAGTATCAACTTTAACTTAAAAAATATTTTCATTATTTGTAAATGTAATGAATTCAAGCCTGAACTCAAATCGCTCGTTGTACCTTTCCGTCAGAATGAAACTTCCATCCTTCATGACAGGAACCTTCCTCATGATGCTGATTTTTCCAAACTCCTCGCTGTACTGCTGCCCTGAGACAAACACACAAATGAGAATCACAGACATGTTAAAATGATGTTTGTGTTGCCATATACATAGAAACTAAAAGGAAAAGGAGTTGCTCTGTCATTTGGAGAAAAAGAGATGAATAATAACAATGTGGTTGTGGAAACAACACATAAAGTATGGAGTTTTTTGTAACTGTCCCCCCCTTTTCCTTATTATCTTCCTTGAAACGCTTCTCTTTCCTATTTTCATTCCCCAGCACGTCTCTGTTATACTCGATCACCTCAGGGACGCAGGAATGTTTTGTCTGGATGCTTTGACCTCTGACCAGTGACATCCCACCCACTGTTGTTATCTGAGAGTTAACGCAACTCTACTCCTCGCCTCACTGGGTGAAATGTAAATGTAAACTGATAGCCCACAGGAGGTTTTTTTTAATGTTCATGCTTACAGAACAAGTTCAAAGCCTGCAGGGGCATTCAACTCCCAACTCCTGCAAAATGTGTGTCTGGGGCTGAGGCTTATGTAACCAGTTTAAAGTCTGCGGGTACTCAACTTTACATCTGGTAACTTTCTGTACATTTCGAAAAGCTCAAAATAAACAACCATTTTGAGGCAGAATGTGAGCTAAAAGCCTGAAGACTACAACAAAAACATGCACACATCAGCTACATATAAACTTAGAAAGGTTCCACCCTGTCCCCGTGTCTGTCCGGCGGTGTGGGATTACCTGCGGCGAGGTTGACATCCTTAAACTCAAAGGGAATCCCGACAACTTTTGCAAACAGGAAGACAGAGCGGCAGGGCTGGGAGTGCAGGTCGAGATAGAGCTCCATCATGTCAGAGTCTGAAGGCTGCAGATGCTTCGTTTACAGCGTGTTCCCTCTGTGTTTTCAGTCCTCTCCTGCAGCGCCTGTTATCCTCTGTCTGCCCAGAACTCCGCCTCTCCTCGCTGTGAGACTCAATGATTTTTAAATGGTGGCGACAGTTCAAAGTAAGCGGGCCGTCGTGGTTGAGCAATCTGACCTTCGGCCTCAGCTTGGCCCAACATTTTGTAAACACTGCTAAGATTATCACATTTTTATCTACTTCGTGTGCCTCTAACTTGTGATTAAGTGTCGTCTTTATAATGAGTTCACCGCAGCAAGTTTAATTAGTGAGAAGAGGGTAAAGTTTGACATAAAGCTAGTCATCACATGGGTAACGATTTTTAAAGTGCATTATTCTGTGCTTTCTTTCTCCCGTGAAGACCCTGTCATCACATGATGTGCACCAAAGTTCACAATGTAATTCTTAGTAAAACTGTTAACTAGGGTTAAAACTAGTAGTTTAAAACAGAATAAAATAATTCAACAAAAGTTGAAAAATCCAATTAAGCGTTTACATTATTTATAAGGCAAAATGCAGACTATTCTCTATTCTCTCCAAAGTCTCCAATGTGAAAATGTCCTACTTTTTCTCGTTTTACTGTAACCAGGTAACTCTGCAAAGCCTTTTATATACTAAACTATTAATAAATGAATTAAACAACAGAATAATCCTAATAGTTAATCAAATTAATTTCCAATCCGCTACATAAATATCAGCAGTCAGAACAGAAGTAGGATTAAAGTGACAAAAACCTATATTTTGAAATTCATCTTATTTGTATTTTATCATTTTTTTCTGATATGGACTTGTGTAATAAAATTGAAATAAAGTTATACTGACATTGAACTGAAGTATTGACTGGCTTTGGTTCAGCCGTCTGCAGAGGTTCCTGCCTCTGAATCAGTCTACTGAGGAGCCGGAGGAACAGAGCTCAGTGTCTTCTGACTGCAGAGGTTCCTGAGGGAATTTATACAGAGAACAAAATTAAATGTAAAAAATAATATGTAAAAACAAAACTGATTAAAAAACGGATTAGTTGTGCTTTTGGCCACTTGGTGGCAGCAGAAACATGCTGTGAACATTGACACAGCATCACCTCATAAAGTTGAAATGGTGAACTTGACATAAATCCAACAATTACTCTCCATTTAACAGTTTTTGGTTTTCACCAACTTCTGAGAAAAATATCTTCAAGCTTCACTTTCTTCACCAGCTTGTTGCTAACGTTGTCTGCCATTTGGTGCTGAGCAGGTAGTGAACAGTTTGTTTTTTAAAAGTCCCTGCTCTGTTGAAGAGAGACAGGATGGTGGGAATAGGAGTGGACTATCTAACTCCAGCTCTATTCTAAAATACAGTTTTAAGGGTTTTTATATTTTTTGTATTTCCTCGCTCCACCACATTACACAAAGTGTATGTTCAACCCACTACATCTGTCTGATGGCTGCAGTGAATAGTTAACACGTACAGATTTTAATTTAGCTTCAAATAAGCTCATTCTGTTTTTTAATATATAACTACTAACCCCGGTTTGGGGTTTTTGGGTTTCTGTCTCGCCTCTTTTCAGTGGTCTCCTTGAAAGCAGAGCTTTTTCCCAGGATATTCAGCAGCCTCTCTGTCTTCCACTCTGTGTCCTCCTGCAGAGGACAGAGAACGCCAGAGTTTAATATTTAGAAATTATCTGATTGGTTGAGATACAACGTAGTGGGCGGAGCCACAGAACCACAATTTTCTCATGTTACTGAGTTGTAACAAACAATAAGGCTAATAACTAAGCTAATAACGTTCATGTCACTGCTTTATCTGCTTACAAACATTAAACTGCATTTTTGTCACATAACATTGTATCATAGGCTGGGGGGGCTGCAGCCAATATTCTGAGCAACTTTCTGAAAAAGACAATTTGACTACATTTAAACTTTACGCAGCACTTTCAAGTATACTGAACCCTTTACACCAAGATCACGTTTCCATCCTCATATTTTGTGTGTCATTAAATTTCATAAATTGCATTTAAGAAACATTTTATGTCGAAATAACAAACAGCCAACCGGTAAAAAAGATTCATAAACTTGTGATGAGTTCATGCATCATGCACTGAAATCCCAAATTACACAAATTGAATTCATTTTAAGAGGCTGCGAGATGAAACAACTAAATACTGTGCAACAAACAATTGTCCAATGACACATTGTCTCACCCTGCAACCTGTGGTCACTGAGACAAGTTCATAGATCCGCTCCTGTAGCTCCCGTCATCTCCTGTTGGTGCTTCAGCTTCAGGGCCTCCCCGTCCTGTATGGCAGCCTGCTGCTGACTCTCCAGCTGCTCGGTCAGCTCGTCCACCTTCTTCTCTTTTTTGTCCTTTTGCAGCCGTTGTACTGAGAGCCGAGGTCCTTGTTGTGTTTCTCCAGCTCGTCACATTAAGGCTGGTATCTGCAGGATGAGGAGGAACACGTAGACTTGAGGTGTATACTGTTTACTGTAAGAGTTTTTATCATGCTGAAAGGCTTGTCCTCAGTTACAGTGTGTCAATAGTGAGCAGAAATATAGTGATAATTCTAGTAATTAATAGCTGGATAAGGCCTAATGTTTCATGTTTTCAGTGAGAGTGATGATAAAGGATTTAGGTCAATTCATCTGTTAACAAGGCTGTTATTGTATTTATCAAACTCAGTGTAGAAATACTTGTAGTTTAATGCCAATCACCTAATTATAATTTTTTATTATTATAACCAAATGTTTATCTTATGAAACATTATTCAAACACATTTATCATGGTGGCAGTGGTACTGATGTCAGTCAGTCACCTTCTATATGGAGACAACAAACTAATTAACATCACTGTGACTAATGCAAATAAAGCAGGGTTTTACATGAGTTATATTTTATTTAAGTTTATCTAAGAGACAAAAACTAACACACATATTTAACTACATATATTAATCTTTGTTTAAATAAACTATGCAAGACAGGACTGCAGTGTGATAATCTTACCTCTCCAGTTTCTCACTGTGTGTACATGTATTCTGACCATTATGGTAAATGCAGTGAAACCGCCTCGTTAGCGTGAGGAAAACCATACTGTCAATGGACGGAAACAAGGGTAGAAACTTCCGGTTTTCAAAATAAAGGTGTGAAGAAGAGTAAGCTATATATATCAAACGTCATTTAAAATAAATAAAAAAAGATTAAATTGATTGTGCATTTAGACATTGCTCAATAATTCACATTGGCTGAATCATTTGACATCATGACATCTATGACAACACACATAATAAATATCAAGCATTTTTACAGTACCAATTTAGAGAAATTACAAAATAAAAGTCCTACATTTATTCCTCTAAAATATAATCTCTTCTTATATTTGAAGTGCTGTAAAAAGACATTGCTCAGTAATTCGTGACCATCGCTGATGTATTTATGTATAGTGATTTACGTTGCACGCGTTAAAGACATTAAAGTGCACCAATTACCCAGAAGAAGCAGCACTCACTCAGCAGCTAGTCTGTGGACTTCAAAAATGTTTCTTGGTTGTTGACACTATTTACAAGGACATCTTCCTATCAGAGTGGGTAAAGCAGCAGTGTAAATACAAAATAGCACCCTGATTGATGTCCCTTACTGATGTTTTTGTGGTTCCAGACATCTGAAATACTGCCTCAATTTTTTAAGAAATGTACAGGTCTGTTGTTGTGCTCACTAAAGTTTGTGTCCAATCCCGAGGTTTGTAGACATTTTATCATTACCTATCATGAATGAGAATGACATCCACGTTTTGTAAATAGCACAGAAGCTGAAGGGAAGTGCTGACATACATGGAGCCAAGTGCCCTATTTCTATTAATATGTACAAATGATTTAGCATTCTATAAGTACAATGTGCACTAATAATTAAATGAATGGTCACTGACATCATCTCTTTGGTGTGTGTGCGTGTGAGCGTGCGTGTGTGTGTGTGTGTGTGTGTGTGTGTGTGTGTGTGTGTGTGTGAGTGTGTGTGTGTGTGTTTGAGGTAGTGGGTTGGTGTGGGTGCAGTTCCTCCTGATCACCAACAGAGGTCGATAAAGGCTTTGAGTTCCTTATCACCTGTTGACGCTCACATCAGTTCATGTTTGAATCTGTGCAGTGGAAGTCATCCCCACTGGTGAAATATAGTTTGGTTTGAAGAGGTGATGACACAGAGGTGGTTGTGAGACAGGAACTCTTGCACCTCCACCTGGAATGCAAAAGAATGAGGAAGAGGTCAGCCGGGTCAATTAATCAGACTGTCTGACTCTGAATGTTTTTCCACAATGTCCTGAACCCTATACCATTATGTTAAGAAACAACAGGTTGGGGTGTATTTAGGATACTTATGCAACTTCTTATAGTCATAATATTCCAGTAGAAAGAACTGGAGATTCAGAGAGAAATAGCAGCCCCAGGTCAATATTAATGTCTGAGCTCTACAGAGATACTTTCATACGTATACAGTAAAAATAAACATACCATCAGTAATAAGAAGTCTAAGCAATTTAATATTGTTCTGTATAAAACCAGTTAAATTCAGAATAACTTTTACAAGCCAATAAAAAAGAAAAAAGGTCAATTCAGGGCAGCAAAAGTAGTGAAAGTACACTCAATATCCTAGCTAAATGCTCAAGTTAACAGCTAGTGGCATAAAGATCCATGAATTACATTGTCAACTTAGAATATTTTATAATTACCAGTAAGTTTTTTAACAACAGATTGTAATAACTCAAAATTGTGACAGATTTTCAAAGTTCTGGTGATAATCACCAAAAAAAGGTGTGATAGGACTGATATGCTTACATCATCATCTGAACTTTTGTTGATTTGTCAAACGTGTATCTGATTGGGCTGAATTCGTTCTTAAGTGAAGCAAGTAGATACCTAAAATAGTTGACTGACAATGCAATTCCAACTCAAGGTCCACTTACTGGCTTTTTCCAGAGTTTATAAACATGCTGGCAGACAAGACCTAAAAGTGCCATGGCTGAAATCATTAAAGCTACCGAGTTGCATGTCAACAGATCCATCTCCATGACATCTAAGTAAAGTCTAATAACTGTTGAAGATGGTATGATCTGTTTGAAAGCTCCAGAAAAGCTAGTAAATGGACCTTGAGTTGGGATTATTTGTTACTGTTTTCCTCACTTATATCCTGTGAAAACTAAACTTGTGGAAGGAAACCTGTTAAATGTAAAATATCCTGCATGCACTATAATTGTTTTATTAACACCAGTGGAGATAATATTACTATAAAATATAATAAGATCACTAACACTGCAAAACTTATATAAAAGTAACATGAAATTGAGTGAGAATTCTGGACCAGCTGCAGGTATTTTATCTTAATACCACAGTTAAGGCTAGCTTATTGTCCCTGAAGTAAAACTGCTTTTATCTGCAAACTATTTCAACCATGTTGGCACTCAAAACTCTTGAACACCCACAACATCAAACTTCTTTTTTTATCACAGAAACTGAAGCAAATTGATGTTTGCTGACGCAGAGGATGCTGAGGCATGACATCCTTAAAGATTAGCAGCAGCAGAACACGGCTCTTGCTCTGTTTTGATCTCTCTTCTTTCCGCCTTTACCCCTTTGGCCCTTTTGTTGTGGCGAGTGCATGCCAGGGGTCAGCTAAGGTCACGTCAAAAGGAGAGAACGAGGGTTAATGCCTTCAAACCCACTAATAACCCCCACTGTGTCCCCCAAACCCCCCCAAGAGCCATTTTCATAGCTCCCCACACGGCCAGACACAGGAGGCAGGCAGCTGGAGGCCGGTCGCTTCCATCCACACGTCTGGATTGAATTAAATGTACACATGTGGTCTTTGTTTTGAGAAGTGCGGCTGACACAAAACCCATAACCAGCCGTATGAAAAATGGATTCCTCAGGCAGCAAACTTTGTTCAGTACCAGTGTTTCACTTTGAACAGGAGGTATCGTAATGACAGGAAGCGTATGATTGGACTTCAGGATGATGGGCAGAGTATCACTGCGATGTGGAACAGTCAGTCTGAGAGGGACTGTAAGTCAGCTGGCAGATATGAATCTATTGCCAAGATCACGTATGTTAGATCTTTCATCTCAAACTTATATATCACATGTCAGAATTTTAAAGCTTAATGTTGCTGTAAAAAGCAAGACTACTTTTCTGTACTTTTCTGTCCACGACTGAGATTTATACTCCAGGCTCTCACACAATGGCTCTGTGTTTAGCTCAGGGACACATGGCGGTTGATGGACACATTAGCTGTGGCAGCGATCAAACCTGTGACCTTTTTTACGACCAACAATCTATTTAACCAGCAGACCACCCTGCAACAACAAACAGCCACTGGATACTTTAATGAAGTTTCTAAAAGGATACGGCTGGCGATATTCTACATTTTTCTTATATTTAACAAATTCCATGAAAACACCAAAACCAACACTGAATGTATCCTACTAACACGTATGTGTAAGGCTGATATATCTGATGTACCTATGTGCCATAGAATTCTATTGTCCAAAAACTATTAAAAAAACAACAATGAGCCACATCACATAATACAGTATTTCATCCTGCTGCCCCAAACTGTCACTAGAGCACCAAATGTGTATTAATCCACTGCAGAAAATAGCACGATTTCCTCCTGTTTGAGTTACGTTTGTTGACCAGCTGTTTTAGGATATTACTTATATCAAATTACCTTCATTAGCAGATGGAGCTTTTGTGGAATTGTAGTTCACATTTCAGTACATATTGAGAGCCAGAATCCTTGTTAGTTTCGGATAGATATATAAAGACACCATAATCTAGGATCACTTTGGATATGTGACATCTTCTGCTTACTTGCAGATATCACAGTGCTGCCATTAATTCTTCTAAAATACAGGAAACACTTAACAAAAATCAAGATAACACCTTACAGTAACCAAGAGGGAAAGTCTTTTTTTATGAAGCCAAGTTGAGCTTTTTCCATATCAGTGGTGCATTGTGTTACATGCTGCTTCCCTTCAATCACCTGAAACCAACAGGAAGATGTTTCTCACCTCACTGAGCTTCACTAAGCATGAATAGTGATTTGCAGGAACACACACACAGTTACTTGGGTTCAAAAGGTGAGACAAAATAATTGTTTTTGCAAGTCACAAGTCAGTCTCAAGTTTGGCTATAATGCCCCATGTCAGGACCAACAAGTCCGAGTCAAAGTCCTACATTTTGTCTTTTGAGACCTAAACAAGTTATTATTTGCCAAAAGCACATTTCCCTCTTGCTCGTTCAACATGACTGGACGCTGTCTGATTATTTTAAACCATCTGTTAAATAAATACAATTTTGGGAAGTATGACAATTCAAATTTTGCTGAGCATAAGATGATGAGATCAATACAACAAGGTAGAGTCTTGGCTTCAAATAAAGAGCGGTTAATGGGAGGAAACAGCTTGCCTAGCTCTGAACAAAGGTAATGAAATATGTCAGAAAAGCACCAAAAATGACATTTTGCTGTTTTACAGAGAGTTAGATGTTGGATTCCTTTGCTGGGTGGGACCTGTTGGCAGGCAACCAGTGACTTACTGCCAAGAAATACACCTGCACATAACCCAAAGTAAAACAACCAATAGTTGCCTTTACACTTTTATTTATGTATCAAACTAATAAAGTAACATGTTAATTAGTGAGCTTTAGACGTACTGGGAGAAAGATTTTGTGACCTAGGCTAGCTGTTTTCCCAGTCTTACTGAAGGCCCTGATCCAAAACTATAAACATGATCAATTTTCAGTGGCACAGGAGCAAAATGAAAGAGAGCAGCACTGCAACACCAGCAGGCTTAGGTGGACAAACAAGTACAGTAAAGAAAGCATTGGACTTTGATCAGCTTCATTTTAGCTGATATAGATCCATTAAAATATGCCCAGATCAGCTCCAAAACCATCTCTCTAAAGAAAGTGATATCGATCTTCTCATCTAACAGTCAGCAAAAAGTGAATAAGCGTATTTGCCAAAATGTCAAACTATTCCTTCAAGTTTAAACTT